GGCCCTTTGGTCTCTAACGCTTGGAGGTAGTGCCCATGTGCTGCCTGGTTTGGCGGACTGCACTCAGCCCCTGGAGACCACTCTTGCCACTAAAATTGTTTCTCTTCGAGTCTTCACAAGCAACCAGAGAGTACCCAGAAGAACAGACTACAGCTGTGGGTTGGGAGTTATGCTCTAGATTAGGGTGCGCACAGAGGATTATTGGTTTCCATGTTCAGGACAGACTCATTCCAGTAGAAGGTTAGTTTCACCAGCACTAGCAGAGCATAGCTAGGAACACTGGCTTTGTGAGTGGCTCTTCCCTGAGAAATAACCCACAAATGCAGGCCAGAGGGCCCAGGACTACATTGGCAAAGGGATGCTAGATAATGATGGCACAAGATAAGTGAATGATTGGGGGGAGAAGGAACCTGGTACCTGTGAATCACAAATGAAGACTGTTCTTCTATGCTGAAGCCTCCACAATACCAGCCCTCCACCTCTCCTCCTTCACACTGGTTTATCGGCACTCAGAACAAGAACCACTGTCCTGTTAAATAGGCCACTGAGTCAGCAACATCTGGATCCCTTTCCCCTACCCCGACTCCAAGAACCAGCGATACATCCTCCCACCTGCTGCCCTCCCCAGCCTTACCTCCATGGTGGCAGTCATCAGGGGAGTGCTTCCTCTTCTTCCTATGTGCGTCCGTCCCCAAGAAGCACAGCTCACTGTCCTGTAATCACAGAGGAAAAGGAACAGATGCTGAGAGGACAGCACGGGGTGGGAGTGCAACACAGCCTGGGAGTGCAAGACCCTGGGACTGAGCCCGGTACAAGAAGAGGGAAGGAATACAACAAGGCAAAGGCAATGTAGAGCCACTGTTGTTTTTAGATGGGTTTTTTAGATTTTATTTTTTTTAATTTTTATTTTGGGTACCTGGGATGGAACTCATGACCTTCTCCTTCTCCCTGCCAGGCAGGAGCTTACACCACTAAGCTAAATCCCCGGCAGCTGGATAGGATTTGACTTTGCAAAACAAAGCAAAGTCAAAGTATCACAGGAAGTGATAACCGTGGGTAGGAATAGCATTTCTTTTCTGAAGTTTTACAGAGACACTTTCCCCTTGATATAGTAGGAAATGTGCTAATTTTAAAACAGTCCTAATTCAAATGTTTACAACTTACCTTTAACTTCTTCTTGGAAGAATTCCTGACCTGAGCAGCGATCTCTTCCTCTTCCCTTAAGAAATCTTTGTAAGAACGTCTCTTTTCTCGCTGGCTTCGGCCGGCTGCAAGGCCTATGTCCTCAAAGCCGTGATCACCATCGAAGCAATCTGAGAAGCACAAGTTCATGTAGGAAAGGATGTGAGAAAAGTAAGCAGCAACCAATCGTCCCACTATTTCCAGATTAACACTGTATTTTCCTCAGTCCACTGAGACACTGGGCTAGATCCAGAGGGACTAGTGTTTCTTGATGACCTGGCTGCACACAGAAGAGTCAAACCTGAAGAAAGCTTCTGCGCTATGCAAGGCCCCGTGCGCATCTTCAGACATGGTTCTCAGTTGTGCTCTGGTGAGTGGACACAGACTTGCAGAGGAAAGGCAGAAAGAGCACGGGTCCTGCGCTGTGGTTGCTGCTCTGTGGGAATCCGCAGGTGTTCCTGTCCCAGCCTCCCGCACAGGGAGCTGGCACAGGTAAGAGTGCTGCAGGGGTTGCCTGAGACCCTGAGAGGCTCATGTCGGAACCCTGTCTTGGTTTTCGTCTCCACGGGCCTAGTCTGGGGATGACGTGGTGGCTGAGGGTCAGCACAGGCTCTGGACCGGCCCGTGGAGTGCAGGCTGTGATGCCCAGTGCTGGTCTCTAATCCACGGCTGCAAGGCCTGAAGAGGACACCCGCTTGGAAAGGCTTCTCAGGTTAAGGGGTCATACCTTCTTTCTTCTCGGAGTCATCATAAGCCATGGTGATCCTGCATGTGTCACTGTCCAGGCTCCTTCCGTCTACAGGCCCAGGTCTGAGAAACAAAGAAGGAAAACCCTCCTGTAATGTGAGATCACGCAGAGAAGCAACCTTCCAGGAGAAAATTCGCAGTGATCCAGAGGCTGGCCGGAAGGGCAGCAAGAAATAAAGGGGTGCCTCATTGCTTCCTCTGTCAGTTTGTAAACTGGGGTCAAAACTGTAGCAAGTATGCTATACTCAATTAGATGATTTACAAATTATGGCCGTCATTTGGCGAAGCACAGAAAATACTGGCTTGTTAAAAAGTAATTCCAAAATGAGTTTTTGAAAAGCTAACAGGACTGACAACTTGGAGATGAAGTAAAACTTGACACCACATCACAGGACTAGGTTTAGTCGTGGTTACAAGACGCAGATACAGCAAGACGCAGAGGAAGACAGACAACAGAGAATACTGACAACCACAAAACCCTACAACTGGACGGGCCAGCTAGATACCAGCTGTACAACTTAAGCACAAATGATAACACAAAGAGACTAAAGAGCGCTTTTTTGTTGGGTGGTATGACTTTGCTGTTCTAATAAGTGTAAAAGTAGGAAAGCTTAAAGTAGCTGGCCATATGACAGCTTGCAATGCTCACAAGCCTCTCTCAAAGGCTATTTGTCCACTGGAGATGAAATGTGTATGATTTTAAGATCTTCACTACTTAGAATTATTATAAATTTGAATGTTGTAAATATCGCAGGTTTTTTTTGGTGTTCAAGTTTAATGCTCACTTTTAACTTTGAAGAGAACAATCTTACACATTGTATAGTATGGTTAAGTAAAATTCGTTAAATACTTGAAGGACAAGCAGCAAACTCTACAGGAAAAGTATCTGTAGGAAATTTAAATTGTACATTAAATATCCTGAAAATGCCCTCACCAGCTAACCAAATGCTTAAAAGTTAACCTGACTGGTGATTTACTTAAGTTTTATTTTACCTTCAGCATGGTAAGCTGGGTGTAGCAATATCAAAGGACACTTCAATGACATTATTAATCTTTTCAGGGAGGTGAGAATAATATTAAAGTGCTCTATGTAACTTGTGGGAGAAAAGATGAATTTGATTAACAAAGGAAACTTTCACAGTAAGTTAAAAAAAAAACAGAAAGCCTTATTTGAAGTCAAATAAAATATAATGCACAAATAGGTCTAAGCTGAAAACAGAAAAGTGTTACCAAGAATGATGACAGAAAATACACAAAAAGGCTTTTTTCCCTTCTCTGAGAGATGAAATGAAGAATGGACTTTTGCTAAAGGTTAGAAAAGCTGAAGTGAGGCTAAACTAAATGAACTGCATCATTTTAAAGACATACTGTAAAATTTCTTACTCAAAGGGTCTTTTCATGAAACAAGAGACATAAAGTCAGGCCTCACATAAAATTGTGGAGACAAGATATAGTGTGGCTGGCTCTCCATGTCCAGAATTTAAATACTAAATTGTGTCAAATGGGGATCACTGTCTTCCTTTTCCACCCAAGTGGTACTGTTTCCAAATCGTGTGAAGATGGACATGGGCAATCACTGCTATTTGAAAATGGACAGGCTCTTGTTGGCACTAAAATACTGAGATTATTAGAAAAATATGTGGATCACATTGATTTTCATATGCTGATAATGCCAAGAACCGCTATAGCTTGAGACTTCCAGTTAAATACTTTTCATGTCAAATGAATTTTGGTACAGAATAAGAAATAATAGCAAAAAAACAAAAACAAACCCTCACTGCCATAAAGATAGCTATTAATCTATAGTCAACAACAAAATGCCAAAAGTCCAGGACTTATAAGTGGGCTCTCCTCTGGTAAATCAACACCAACTAGAGCTGACCAACCTACAGTAAGAGTAAGCACCTCCATAGCCACATATAAAGATAATGGTGACCTGCTGAACATGAAAGGTACATACAGTGTAGTAACTGCTTCGAAAACTAGATCTAAAAAGCTATAAAAAGGAGCAGAAAATTAAGGTCTGCAGCTCAGGGGCAAGCCAACATACAAAGGGTGCTGGTGTTGGCATTACACATTAGAATCAGGTGATGAAAATCTCACAGTGAAGAGTGTTTTACAGATTACAGGATAAATACCTTAGGAGAAAAAGAGGAAGGCTAGAATACAAGTCCAGCTCACTGAAGAACTGGGACAGCCGAGATCAAGAGCTACTTGAGACCATATCACACTCAGCCTAGGCAGACTGAGGGGTCCTCAATTTCCAGGTTCTTTAAATCAGGGTTTTATTGAAGCTTGGGGGTTGTGACTCAAAAGAGAAACATGAGAACAGATAAAGATGCCTCAAAGCAGTAGTGTGAAAGGGAGGCAAAGTTCAGGCAGCATTCACAAAAGGGGAACCCTGATCTTCCTCCCAGGTCTTGAATGTTACTAAGGTAAGCTCAAGGTGCAGGGGCAGGAAGCAGATTGTGAGGGTTAATGACACAAAAAATCAGGTTCGATTTTCCCGTTAGAAAACAGAATCACAGTAACGTCGGCAATGTAAGAGGTGTTAAAACTCATTCTCCTGAATTCTGTAATTTCAGAGTTTACAAAATTCAATGTTGTCAACTCCAAGAGGCAGGGACAATTTTACTTGTGTTTGTCTTCCTGTGTAAGGAAATGACAACGTAAGTTCATCATTAAATAGTTTATGGAAGAAACATGCCACTGTAAAAAAGGCATCCTTGAGAAATGTGCAATTATCAACTGACTCTTCTGGGACTTTTTTCAGGATGAAAAAGGGGAGGCAGAGTTGATCTTCCAGTTGGAGATCAAAATATTATATTCAGGTACAAACTTTCAGAATAACCAAAGTATTTATGGAAAAAGTTAAAATCATCAAATGTTTGGCTGTTTTGAAATGCAAACTGTAAAATGCTGAAAACCTTACAGAGGACAATGTTTGGAGGTGAGTCTGAACCCTGGCAATGGCATGTATGTATCGTCATCCCAGAATACAGCTTGGAACTGAAGAGGAAACAAAACAAGTCCCCTCAAGTGGGCAGGAAGTGAAATTCCACGATTCCGATATGGTCCAGGATTTGGGCTCTGTCCAAGGTTTTTCCTTTTCTTTCAGCACTCCTTTCAGGATCACAAAGGGTCTGATATACATCTCCGAAATTTTGTTGCTGTTTCTGGGAGCGCAGTCTTCTCATTTTCATCGGGATTCTCTCCCTTATCTACATTCAGGCTTCTCCGGAAGGACCAGCACCAGCTTACAGGTCTGCGGCCACCTTGCAGATTGGCGACGACACACACTGTGACACGGTGTGGAATCAACAGGCTTCCTGTGGGATTCAGTCTTTATTATTCTGCAAGGAGGGAAGATACCCAGCCGGCCTTGGAGAGGGAGCTGAAGGCTTCTTCTTTCGTAGAGTAAAATCGAGTGAATCTACAAGTAGCAGCCCTGGAGGGTACGGGGCCTGCGTGGAGGAAGCTCCCATGCGAGGGCGGGCTCGGCGGGACGCAGATGCGCGCGACACAAGGATTTGAGTGCCAGCGCCCCGGGACGCGGCCTCGGGGTCTCCACAGCAGACACTCCACAGCAGTGCGAGCGGGGCTCGCACGGCAACGCTGCGGCACCAGCTCGTGCATCGAACTGGCAACGAGGAGGGAGGAGCAGTGCCGACCACGATGCGGCGCCCAGTCCCCGCGTACCACGCCAGTCCAGAGTCTGCATCCCGGCCCGCTCGGCCCCTCTAATCTCCTGTCCCCACGAGCCGTGCCCCGTGTCCCGGCCCCCAACCCAGTCCCCGCGCCGGCGTCCCCCAGCCTGGTCCAGGCTCCACGGCACCCGAGGCTGGAGCAGGCGGCAGGCGCTTCCCCCGGCCCGGGCCTCCTCCCTGCCGCCTTCCCGCCTTCCCGGTTTGAACTCTGCCCGCCCCGCCCAAGCCCCGGCCCCAGCCCTGGCTCCGGCTCCGGCCCCCGTCCCGCCGCCACGCCAGTCCCCGCCTCGGGCCCGGCAGGCCGCGCGGGCCTCGGGCGCTCCATGCCAGGTGGCGCGGCCAGGGCGGGGACGGGAGGGCAGCGCCGCCGGGGCCGGGCCGGGCCGCACCACTACCTTCACTCAGCTCGCCCGGGTCCCGCCGCGCCGCCGTCACCAGCCGCCATCTTGGAGAGGGAGCGCGCGCGCCGCTGGGCACCTAGTCGAGCGCCGAGCGTCGCCGCAGAGCGAAAGAGCGAGCACCGAGCGCATCGAACTCGGCGGTGGCGAGCTCTGCCGAGCCTGCGCTGTACTCGCCTACCTGGGGCTCTGTGAGCTTTCGGTCTTGCAAAATTCCGGCTACTCAACGAGGTAGGTTTTATTGCGACTCACAGGGAAGGATTGCTCAGAGGCAGACTTGCTCAGCAATGCACAGGTAGCTGGAGTAAGAGGCAGCACACTACTCTGAGATTCTGATTTGCAATGCCTGCTTTTCCTAATAGCCAATGCTATGTTTTCACGATGTTTTTTCTAGGCGATTCCCCGGTGCAAAACTCAGAGGCGTACTGAGCCATAGCAGTGGCGCTTGTTTGAAATTTAGAATTTTACTTGAGTATTTGGCCTGCAGGGTGAGGGAGAACACATTTTGGCAACAATATACTGAAAAATAATTTGCATGCCCAATCACCCACATTTATGCCTCCTACACAATTTTCATTTACAGGTTAACGACTATTTCCAGAGACGTGGTCTCCTACACTCAGAAGGCAATGGACCAGGTAAGAAGAGTGCCTCTCGATTTTCACACTTACTGTAGAGTGCGTGGTAGTCCAAGTTCTGCCAACGTGGGTGGGCATCATAAGGTACAGCAGTTACTTTTATAGCACTAGTGTGACAGGCTGCTTAGTGACTTGTGAGGTACCCATCGCTGGAGGAGTCCAAGCTGGAGCTGCAGACCTCATTACTTCGGAGCAGACGACTGGACATTCAGATTGGCTTCAAGTGTTGTGAACCCCATGCTAAGTAGGTAAAAGTAGTACAGGCAGTCAGACAGGGCAAGGCCCTCGAAGGAGTCAGTGTAGAAGATGGAAACACACAACAGTGGCTGGCGGTGCCTCTGTTGAAGGCGAGGCCTCAAGATAGAAGAGGGAATGATCAGGCTTATGTGCTCCCCAAGGGATAAGCAGTATCACCTGATCCAATAGTCTAGATAGACATCAGTCACCCTAATGGGTGACCAGGACCTCCGATTCATCCTTTCCTAAAGAAGGTCTATGTTCTTTCCATGTACACTTGCTGTTTGATCTGCTTCCCCATTGGATCAACATTACCTAAACAGCTATCCAGGTAATTTTATTGGTTTATCATAGTTTTGACCTGTTGTACACACCTTGTGATTTTGCTCTGTAAAACTTCCTTTGAGAAATGGGCTGGTTAGAAACCTACTTTCAGGTCTCCTCTAGTCCCTCTGAATAAAGTTTTCCTGCTCTCAACTTCTGTTGCTCCTCTGAATTCATTCTTTGATTTTGGGGAACATGAATGTTGTGTATGTGACACCTAGCAGATTGGGAGTTACATTTACTTTCCCTGTATCAAAACTGTGTAGAAGCTAAGTCTGAGAATGTAGCTCAGTGGCAGAACACTTGCCTAGCATGTGCGAGGCCTGGCATTTAATCCTCAGCGACACACACATAGTAATAAGAGAATACTACGAAAAGTTCCACAACTGTCCTGTTGACAACTGAGACAAAATGGTACTGCAAACTACCAGAAATAAACCTTTTTTCTTACCCTTATAACATTTAAAGAAATTGAGTTTGAAATTTGAAAAGTTTGTTTTGTTTTTTTGAGACAGAGTCTCACTATGTAGTTCAGGCTGTCCTTAATCTGACTATGTAGCTCAGGCTGATCTGAAACTTACAGTGATCCTCTGACATCCTACCTCCAGCCTCTTGAGTGCTGGGATTACAAATGTGTACCACCTTGCTTGGTTAATTTTAAAATTCTTGAAAGAATTAAAAAAGAAATCTCCAGGCCCAGATGGTTTCATTGGAGAATTCTCTCAGATACTTAAAAATATAAGTTCTACAGAATCCTTTCTAGTAAATAGAACACTTCCCAATTGTCTATGAAGCTAGTATTGTTACAGAAAAACCAACATCAAACTGAATGGAAGATGACAGTATGTAATTTATCAACTAGTGATTTCTTAGTGTTTATTTTTGGAATTTTGTATTGTTGCTACCCTTTTTTTCTGTTTTGATTTTTTTCTCTTTAAATAAAAATTTTTTTAAAAAACTGAATGGAAGACTCTTTGCACCAAAGAATCTAGAGGGCAACTTGTTTATTATGCTAGTGGGCTAGTGGGAATCTCGGTTCCAAATCATCAGCACTGAGCCAGGTTTGGTTTCAGTTTGAATTCAGTTTGCAAGCAGTAAATACAAGGCATTACATGACTGGTTGCATGGAATGAATTAAATCCTATATTGTGAAGTAGGCTAACTCTAAATACATTTGCTTAAAAGGAATTGTTTATCGTAACACAGGAATATCATGGAGAGGAGGGGAGGGGGTTCAAGCAGAGAAAGCAAGAGTTAAAAAGTATCGTTGAGTGGGTCACTTTATCCCAACCGAAGTCCTTGAAGCCAGTGAGAGGCAATATACTTTCTTAAGGGAAACGTCAGCCAAGAATACTCAAATTGACCCAGGTCATTATCAGAAGAAAGGCAGCTGGGCCCAGATAGTCAAGGCTGCCTGAATTCAGCAGGATGGCTATATGACAAACAACAGGAGCACAGGCAGAGGCTACTATTTGGTTTTAACTTGTTATAATATATATATATATGAGTTCGTTATTCTGTAACCGTGCCTTTACTAATTGTATAATTGTGTCCCAACAGTATTCTCCTGATAGCAAAACCAGACAAAGACACAAAAAAATTACAGGTTAGTATTCTCCATGAGTACGGGCACAACGCTCCTTAAAGTATCATCAGAGGGACTCCAGAAACATATAAGGGAATTAGGGACTTCTCCCAGTGGTGTAAGCCTGGTTTAGGATTTGAAAATCAGTTGGCATACAGGCAGAGAAGAACACTCATGTGGTTGTATCAGTCAGTGCAGAAAAAACACTTGACAAAATTCAGCACCCATGATTGAGAAAAAACCAAATACCCAAAAGTTGGGATAAGAGGGAAATGTTCTCAATTTAATGAAGAGTGTCTATTGAAAACCTGCAGCTGACAGACTCAGGGAAAGGCTGATCGATTTCCCTCATCACTGGAAATATGGTAAGAATGGCTGCTGTCTTTCTTTTCCAATACAGTGCTGGGATTCTAGATGCTGCAGTAAGGGAAGAAAAGGACACAGAAGCCATACAAATGGAGTGGAAGGAATAGAACACTATTGTTGGAAAAAAAGAGGCTTACTTAGGTATGAATCCAACATGACATGTCCAAATGTTAATCAAAGAATTTAAAAATTATATACATGAGGGGCTGGGGATTTAGCTCAGCAGCATAAGCGCCTGCCTTGCAAGCAGGCAGTTGTGAGTTCGATCCCTGGTACCGATAAAAATGAAAAAGACAAAAAAAAAAAACCAAAAAAAACAGACTATATACATGAATGGAAAGATAAGGTTTCTTAGTTTGGAAGATTCAACATAGTAAAGAAGTCAGTTCTTCTCAAATGATACAGAGGCTTAATTCAATTCTTAGCAAAATCTTGGCAAGTGTTTTTATAGTTATAGCTAGATCATTCTAAAGTTTATGTGGAAAGGCAAACAGAACAGTAAAACATTTTGGAAAAGATGACTACGACATAAGAATCAGTGTACATAATTTCAACACTTGTTATGTAGCTACAGTAATCAAGAGTAGTGTTGACAGAGGGTGAGATAGATCACTCGACAGGCAATAGAATCAGCACCTAACTCATGGAAGGACAGCATGCTGATTCTCAGCAAAAGTGAAAGACAAATACTGCATGATCTCACATGTGGGATCTAAAAATGCTGAGTCAATAGAGATGGAGATATTCTGGTCATGGGGCAAATAGGGGGTGGCTGTGGGTTTTGTAGGGCAAAGGGCATAAACTGACAGATGCACAGGATGGGTAAGTCTAGAGATCTAATGTACACAAGACTAGCGCTAGTTGTGTTGGGTACTGAAAATGTGCTACGATTGAAGGTTTCAGGCTCTGGTTACCGTATGAACAGAGCTTGTGGTCTCGTAGCACTGAGGAATGAACTAGCAGACTACAGGAGAGTTTTTATTGGAAAGAAGAAGAAAACCGTCTCCTGATTTCTCCAGCAGGGGAATCTGAAAAAAGTTCCACGTGGCCTGTGAGTCCAGAGCTGTTTATGGGTGAGTGGAGCAGGGAATTACAGATGATTCTATGACTTTCAAATGACCAGCTGGAACTCAGGGTTCTTAACCCAGTTACACAGTATGTAGGATTTAAAGGACACTGGAATTTTTAAATTAAAAAAACTGGCTATTTTGTAGTTACTTCCTGGAAACTCAGGATTTAGTACAGAGGGGCTGCACCTCCTTTTACAGGGAGGGGTCTGCATTCAGTGTTGCCTGAGGAAGTTAAATCTTGGCCCAAAGTCTCTTTGTTCTTTGATAAGCATTTTAAAGCCTGTCCCAGGGCTGATCACCCAGCTCTGTTCTCAGCCGGTCTGGACTAGCTGCCTTACTCATTAGCTGACTAACCCACCTATCTTTCACAGTCCCTGTGCGGAAGGTAACCAGGAGAGGTTATGATGTGCTAACTAGCCGGTGTTCCTTAAACAGCACGGTAGTGAGTGCCTCCATAGTAAAAGACAAATAGTCTCTCACTGATGATCCAGGTAACGCACAGACAGAAGACACAAAGAGATATGCAAGAAAAAAAGGAAAAGGAAAACCTTGCTGGGGGGAGAGGCTTTATTTAGGTAAAGACTTGAGAGGGGCAGTGGCTCAGAAGAGCCCAAGCAGCTTCTTCTACAGAGCAGGGATTGTAAGGCACTAAGGGAAGTAAAGGCCCATTGTTCTCAGGATCAGGCCTTGGGTCCATGGTCACTGGTCCACCTTAGGTTTGCACAAAGTTGCCTGATCAAGAGAACTGAATGCTGTAGTCTGGAGTGTTTTGCACAGAAAGCAGATTTAATGGACTTCATAATTACAGGGGCATTGGAGAATGAGGGGGAAGGGTTGCCACTCCTGGACAAAGTCCAGTGACTTTTCCTTTGCACATATGGGAGGAGAGGCAATGCCGATGGAGATGAGTCCATGAGGATGTACCCTGCATTAGCAAGAGGCATCACCACATGCCTCTCAGAATGCCTAAGAGGAAAAGCCGTGACTGGGACAAGTGCCGGGAGTTGCAAGAAGCTCGGTCATTTGAATATTACCTGTGGGAAGGCAAATAGCACAATTACTCTGGGAAAAGGCTGGCAGTTTCTTCAAAAAAAATAAGCATACAACTACAGCAGGTGCAGCAATTGGGTGCTCATCTCATGAGAAGGGAGCTCTGGGTTTGTAGACCCCTGCACATGACACGCACTATCTATCTGCTTTTGCTATCTTCAGATTGCTCAGCAGAAGCGAACTACAGTCCCCGGTAGGTGAACAGACAAGGCTGGTGCATCCAGACAGGGCACAGGGCACAGAGAGACAGAGAAGTGGGCCACAGGGCCATAGACCAGTTGGGCTCCCACAACTGTGGAAGTGAGCAAAGCCAGCCAGAAGGGGTGCTCCACTTATCATTCTTGAAATCACAACAGCCTGGAAAAAGCTGCTGCGGAGGGCAGGGGTGCGGGTCACTGGGGTCCCTGCCTGCTGCTGGCGGTTGCATGGGGCTTCCCGTTCATCAGAGGGCAGCAGTGAGTCATCCAGGCCTCTGTCAGTCCTCGCAGCCACATGTGACTCTCCCGTTGTCCCAAGATGAACACTCACTATGGAAGGCTGTCGGTATAAGGGACATAATGGTACACTTGGCAAAACTGGCAAATGTCCTGTAGATTAGGTAACACTATCTATGTTTTATTCCCAAATTTAGTAACTGTGCTTTGAGTACAGAAGAGAATATCCTTGTTTTAGGAGAAGCACAGAGGTCTTTAGAAGCAAAGGGACATGATATGTATATTTCAGTATCAAAAGGTCCAGGACAAGGGGCTGGGGATTTAGCTCAGCGGCATAAGCACCTGCTTTTGCAAGCAGGCAGTTGTGAGTTTGATCCCCGGTACTGATAAAAACAAAAAAGGCCCAGGACAAAAATAAATCTGTATGACGAAAGCACAGACTAGCAGGGCAAATACAGCAGAAAGACAAGATGAACTTTTAGGGAAGATGGACATGTTTATTATCTCGATTGTGGTTATAGTTTTGTTGGAGTTTACATGACTCAAAACTCCAAAAGTAATAAGAACTGTGGGAGTAATAAACCCAAAATGTGTAATTGTCATTGTAAAAAAGAGAGGAAAAGAAAGTGCTCTAAAGAATATAACTGC